AAAATAATCTTTCTAAAACATGCCATAAATATCAAAAATCCCAGAAGTTAAAAAAAAAATCCCTTTTATAAAAACCTCTAATAGCGAAAATTGTGACAGCTAATAAAGATAGTAAGAAATGTCACCTTTGTACTACAACTAAAACAGTCAACTAGAATATAAAGTATACACATTTTATAGCAATGACAAACTGAGGATAGCTAAGAAAAAGATGTACCGTCTAGGATAGAAAATTTCAAAGTTTTACAAAACTTGCTCACATTTCATCACTGTCAAACACACATGATAATTTAAGAATGACAATATAAAACACAAAACTAACACATGTCACAGAAGTTTCCCAGCAATCATAATCATCAAATTTGGTTCAAACACAATTGGCTCATCAAACTTTGGGTAAATGCCAAAGCAAAAGTTCTGCCTACAGGATCTCGACATGAGGTAAGTAAAAGGCCACTTTGTTGGCATAACTTACTATTGCTTCCCAAGATATTACATGGCTTGAACTCTAAAATGCAAAACCCTACCTACCCTCCCATGTACACTCTACACAGTGAACAATACACAAAGCCCTTCCCTTATGGATATGATATTCATTCATTCATTTATTCATTCATTCAACAAATATTTACTGAGTGCCTACAACATGCCAGGCAATCTTCTAAATGCAGCAGGGGCTAAGGAAGGGAAGAAAACACACCAAGTCCGTGTCCTACTAGAACTGCTATTTTAGCAGGGAAGCAAATAACAAATAAGATAAGTAAACAGAGGGGAGCCTGGGTGGCTCAGTTGGTTAAGCGACGGCCTATGGCTCAAGTCATGATCCTAGAGCCACGGGATGGAGTCCGACACATGGGGCTCCCTGCTCAGCAGGGAGTCTGCTTCTCCCTCTGACCCTCCCCCCTCTCATGCTCTCTCTCTCTCATTCTCTCTCTCAAATAAATAAATAAAATCTTAAAAAAAAAAAGATAAGTCAATAGAACTCAAGCTAAGGTAGGGGTGATAAATGCTAGCAAGAAAATAAAGCAGGAAAGGAGGATTTAAAGTGCGGGTAAAATCATAAATAGGATGGCCAAGGGAGATGAGATAAAGTGGAGAAGACACGCAACCATATGTTATGTTAGGTGTACATGCTACGAAGAAACACCTGCTAAGGGCAAAAGCAGTGGGAGGGAGCGGAGGCTATGGAAAGAGTGGTCAGAGAAGGAGACTGACCTTTGAGAGGAGACTCAGAAGAAGTAAGAGGCCCAGTCACATGAAGATCTGGGAGAAGGGTAGGGGCAGAGGCACACTGGCCTCGAAAGCCCGATGGTGGGGGCAGGCATGGCACGCTCCAGGGCAGAGAGGCTTGTGGGGCAGGAGGGAGAAAACGGGGGACTGGACACCACTGTCCTAAGGGCAAGCTGAAGACCGTGCAGAGTTCCACAGCCATTCTGCCTTCTGGGAGCCATACATTTAGAGGTGAGTAGCTGTTTTCAAATCCACTTAACAGACTACTGAAAAGTCATTTCTTGCAAAATACAAGTGCAGGGGCTAACGGGCCGATAAAGCAGGATGAAACAGGCTCGGCTGCTGAGCAGTATATACGCTCAGAGAAAAAAGGCACGTGTACAGAAAGTTCTACTGTCCTTGAAGGCAGTAAATGAGGAAGAGGGAAGATCATGTTACTAGTTTTCAAACGTCGCAACTGAGGAGGCTTTAAAAAAAAGGGGTGGGGGGGGCAGAAAAGGCTGCAAATGAAAAAGCTGCAAAATGAAAAGACAATTTGAAAAAAGTCTTTTCAAACTCTTATTTCCTCCTCAGTTTGAAAGCATGATGCCGTACGCAGGAATTTCTCTTGGTGCCTCAAACATACCTGATTAACTCCTGCTAAAGAGGAAGTGTGTTTTCCTCACTTCAGAATCCCTCCCACGGTGCCAGGCACACAGAGAGCGCTCAGCAAACGGTGGGGTGGGGACATGCAGAGGGGCACTCGAGTTCCAACAAGAGACACTTTGTGTTGCTCTGACTTGAAAGTGGCTGGAAAATAAATACCAAGTATTCAAAGAAGAATAAATTTCCTCAAAAAGGAAATGACTTCTATAAACAGATCTTACTGATCCACGCATCCGTTAGAATAAAACTTGAAGCTGGGGAAGAGAGTCAGGCTCTCACTCTGGGCTACAACAGCACCAGACTCGTGAATTAAGGTCATCGGAGCCTCAGTGAGACACTCATCAGGGTGCCTCCACTGTCAAAGGTAAAAAGTCTATTCTGTTGTACTTCCTTCGGGACTTTGATCTCTCTTATAAATGGACACGAGAGAGCCCTAATTGATCCAGCACGCAAAACATTTTCAGAGATTGATTACACAAGCACCAGCCTAGGCCATGAGAATCCAAAAATAAGGAGGAGATGGTCTCTACCTTAAAGAGTTAGTGTTGGGTTGAAAGTTGGATGTTTACTAAAAAAGGGAACAAGAGGGAGAAAAGCTGAACTAAAAACGACTAATTAAAATACACTGTAAAAAGGGTTATACTACAAGAACAAAGAATGATGAAAATATAGGAAAAGGAGTAAGTCTATGGAAGACCTCACAAAAGAGGCTATGCCTAAAATAGAACTACAGGTTTGCTTTGCAGCCATATAAAATCATAAGAAGACAGAGACAACACTGTTAAAACCTACTGTTTGTTGTTCCTCATTCTTTCTAATTAGAGCAAAACTACACTCAATGAGACTTTCTTGAGAAACAAAAATCTTTATTTCCTTAATGTGTTTACAATGAATATAAAGACTCCTAAGAAATAAGAGTCTTTTCAAAATTTGTCTAAGCAACATATCCCAACACAATGATTCCAAATAACTTTATCTTCTATTACCCTTCACTATAATAACCCAGTCACATACCAAGCTTCAGGCAGCTGAAGTATTTATCACAATTTAAGTTGGTTACGGCAGCCCCAGTAAAGGAACCATAGGGCATTCAGAGATAACCCAGCACTGGGCATTGTAAAACTATTTTGCAAACCAATTCTGAAATCTCAGAAAATCATATGTTCATCTAAGCAGTCATCAGGAGACAATAACCACAAGTGAACTCAAATCTAAGGACAAACTACTTTTTTTTTTTTTTTTAAGATTTTATTTATTTATTTGACAGAGAGAGAGAGAGCACAGATAGTCATAATGGCAGGCAGAGGGAGAGGGAAAAGCAGGCTCTCCGCTGAGCAGGGAGCCCAATGCGGGGCTCGATCCCAGGGCCCTGGGATCATGACCTGAGCTGAAGGCAGACGCTTAACTGACTGAGCCACTCAGGCACCCCGAGGACAAACTACTTTTAAAAAAAAACTTTAAGAGACGATAGCCCTCCCCCCCTTTTTTTTAAAGAGATAGCCCATTTACATTCAGATTAGATCTATTTTTGCAAAGAGGAAGAGAACAATAAAATTATATTCTAAAATGCCTATAAATATACATTCACAAAATACATTTTACATATCACTATAAGGATATAAAAGAAATTATTTGAAAATGAAAAGAGCACCTCAAGCTTCTTTTTGTTCACTTTTATCATGACAAAGACTTTTTTTTTTTTGGTGCTAAGAGTAGTACAAAATGAGGAATTTAGAACTTATTTTTTGAGATTCCTGATCTACAACTATAAACAAACAAATATAAGTTGCAAATCTTGGCCGTACTTTATATAGAGTTACACTACTAAACCTCTGTAAATCTGTTTTCTGTAATAAGAGGAATAATACCAAAAGTGGAAACCAGATATAACTATAATGTATGAAATACCTACTAATTACTCTATAAATGTTGGCCTTCACCATCAATACCCAAGCCTACAAATAGGATAGTGGGTGGAGGTGACAGGAGAGAAATAAGGAAGCTAAATGATCCACTAAATTCCAGTAACATCCCTTAACAGTGTTAAGTTGCCAGTAGCTAAAATTTGTAATAATGATTTCAACTGGAATGGTCATAATCTCTTACAGTGTTTTACAGATCACAAGCAGACCTTATACATCTCAATTCACTCGTTACTCAACATATGCAATATGAATAAGCAACACAGGGACTGTCGACTCATGGTAAAGATAAGTAAACTCAAATTCAGAAAGGATATAAATCATGCAAATCAGTGACTGAGCCACATTTACTAGTAGCCATAAAAAGTCTCACATTTACTAATTTAGTTCACTCACTGGATGTAAAAGGTCTCCCGGTGAATACTCTTGCCTCTGGCCTCATTGCAGTAACGGACAACCAAAGTATCCTTCGCACTCCTCTTGGCTCCCAGGTGCCACTAGGGCCAGGAGCTAATGGCCCACCTACGCACTCTGAGGTAGGCACTGAGGCAAATTTATTCTCTTTTCTTCATTCTCAAGAAGAAACATTCTGGCCTCCACAAGCCCACTGACTGCTACAATGAGGACCACTGAACTTAGAGTCTATGTCACGTGTCGTGACCCAATTCTCAAATACCTTGAACTGAGATAGAGAACATCAGTTCAATTAATAATAAAGTGGAACTTTGATTTCCAATTTGTCTTTCTGCCTCTGGAATTTCACAGGGAGAAACGGGTTGTTAAGGGAGCCAGGATTCAGACATTCCTGAGTCCTCTGGACCTACGACCTGATATTGTCAGAACTACATTTCTAAAAGATAGATCTAATTCAGATAGTTATCCTAAAAACTGTTCTTAACCAAAAAAACCCACAAAAAAAGAACCATAAAAACATACTGAGCACACCCCAGTAAAATCAGGAGGCCTTCATTAAAAAAATAAAAAGTAAAGTTCATCTTCATTAAGTTAAGGTTATCCTGCTATGCTAGACACATTTTGGCTTTGAGATCATTTAAAAATTAGTTAGAAATAATTTTATAATCAGAAAAAAGTTTAAATAGATTACACTAAAATTAATTTTGTTTATTTCAAATTATACAGAACAAAACAAAAAACTGTAATGATTTAGAAAGAAGGTAAAATTCAGTAAACCCAGTCACATACCAAGCTTCAGGCAGCAAAACAGAATATTCATGTGGAGAAGTGGTCTCTGGGAAGTTGGAGAGAATTGCAAGATGATGAGGAAGCAGATCTGATCCATGATAAGTGAGCAGTATTTCTAGGGCTTGTACGTTACTTTCCTGTACAAACAGCAAGGGGTAAATTTCCACTGTAAACCTTAGAAATAAAGGAATGATTTTGTAGGACAATGTTCAAAAACCTAAAATTAGCTTTTTGTGCAGCTCTGATATAAGGTACTTTGAAATATTTCTAATTCTTCCTAGTCTGCATCACATTTCTCAATCTAGTGCTGTGAAAATTACTTATTTTTAAAATTCAGAATGATGAATAAACATTTTATTTTATGTTATTTATTTGAGAGAGAGAGAGAAAGTGTATGAGCAGGGCGAGGGGCAGACAGAGAGGGAGAAATAGACTCCCCGAGGATTCAGGGCTGGATCCCAGGATCCAGAGATCATAACCCGAGCCAAAGTCAGAAGTTTAACCAACTAAGCCACCCAGGCGCCCCCACCTTTTATTTTATTTTATTTATTTATTTATTTATTTGAGAGAAAGAGAGTGAGAGCAGGGGGAGGGGCAGAGGGACAATGAATAAACATTTTTAAAAATATAATTCCATTTTCTCTACCTTACTATTACAACAAAAAATGAAATGATGCTAAATCATGCAATAACATTAACTGCACGGCTCAGAGATTTAGAAAGTATTAATAACCATAATTATTTTATTTACAAAAAAGAAATTACCCGAGCATAAGTTCTTGCTGAGAGAACAATATTCTGATTTCTGAACTTCTTAAAGAATTCAGCATCGTATCTCTGTTCAGATGCATGAGGCACTCCTAGGATTTCCTGAGGGGAAAGAGTGACTTAATAATGAAAAGGCTTTTAAATACGGCTGACAAGAAAATATTAAAAACCTTTACAACTCTGCCTCCCTAAATAAGCCCTGAATTAATTAAACTATCAACTGTTAACTGAAGTAGTACATCTGCATTCTTGCCTTTATTTTGAAAATGGCTATATTTATAAATGCTGATAATTTTTAAAAAATTAAGAAGTAAATGAAATAGGCAGTAAAAAATTAATTACAGTACGACAAACAAAACCCACCACCTGCTAAAAACAAATAAGCAACCATTATACATAGCTGTGCATTATGAGCACCTGCATCTGTGAGAGAACTTTAGGTTAACTTTACAGCTGCTGGTGATCGATGTACAAGGCAGACTGAACCATTCATTCATTCAATAAATATTTATTGAGTGTCTACTACATGCTAGGGGCACCATGATAGGCAGCAGTGATATAATGAACAAGACATGTTTTCTGCCCTCCAAATTGCTTAAAATCTAGTAGGGAAGACAAACAAGCACACAGGAACAGGTAAGAGGAAACACACAGGAAGGGTACTATAAAGCTAGTTCGGGGAGGGCAGGGAAGGCTTCCCAGGAGTGGGTCCGAAGCTGGGATATAAAAGACAAATAGGAGTTAGCCATGGCAACTGCAAGTGAGGATCTGCCCACCGCACTGCATGACATAGGGCTCGTGTCTGTCATGTTTAATGCTAACCCCAGATACCTAGCAGACTGCTTTTCATATAATAAGTAACCAATAATTACTTATTGATTGAATTAATTTACTGAGGTAGGTGAGAGACAAGAATGAGGAGGTGGGGAGGTGAGAGAGGGAGGGTGGATTGTTGAGAAGGTCACTTGCAAATATGTTGGGCTTGCATCTATAGCACATCTAAAAGGAGCCTCCCAGGAGGCAGGTGGATAGACAGGTCAAGAGTTCTGGAGTAAGCTAAGATGAGTCACATATATGCCATACTATTACTAATACAGAAGTGAATATGATTTCAAGGGAGATTAAGTTGAATGAAAGGAGCCTTAAGGAGCAACATCATTTAAAGGATCAACCAAAAAAAAAAAGGTTGGGAGGTCATGGAGGGTGAGGGGAGGGCAGGAATCTGCATCTGAAAAGCAAATGAAGGAGCAGCCAAAGAAGTAAGGGGGGGAAAAACTGTTTAACACATTCTCACAGAAACCAAGAAAGAAAACATTTCAAAAATGTTCTCAGTTCCCTGACTCCTCATTCACAACAATCATTCCCCTTATTCCATCACAGTTACACATCCTACCACCACCCTGGATCTCTATCATCACCAAGAGGGAAGTCTCTGGGACATCTCATGTCAAACACTGGACTCTTGAGGAACTGCTCCCCCACCCCCACTCAACCCAGTACATGGCATTCCAGCAATTCCTCAAAGTCACTGAGACATCCAGTCCCCTGACCCTACCTTTTTCACCTGCTGTCTTTCCTCCAAATCTCTTGTCCCTTCCAACCAGTCCCTGGTCCAACATTATAGAGATTTAATAATCCCTTGCTTCTTTCCCTTCATCATATTACCTGGCGAAACCTCATCCTTAGTCCAAGGCAACTATGAACCCTGATTACAAGTTACCAGGAGTCTGAAAAAAATATCACAAAACCAAGCTGACAATTCTCATTTCAAGATCTCAGCACTGTTAGGATCCTGATCCAAATGAACCAACTGTAAAACCATTTGTGAGGCAACCAGAGAAATCTGAATGTGAAGTGGATAGCAAATGATATTAGGGAACTGCTACTAATTTTCTTAGAAATAATAGTGTTATTGTGTTGTTTTTTTTTAAGTCCTTACCAATTACATACATATAAGTATTTATGGGTGAAATGATAAGATGTCTAGAATTTGCTTTAAAACGACTAAGTGAAAGAAAAGGCAGGAGTGGAGAGTAAAAGATACAAGATTGGCAAAATGGTTGAAGCTGGGCAGTGAGTACATCTGGGTTCATTATACTCTTCTCTATACTTTAAGGAAGGTTTGACATTTTATAAATTCAATTCACATCTGCTGTCCCTCAACGCTACTACATTTCCCTAACAAGTTTTCTCTCCTATTCTGTTAGGAACTTTTCCACAATTCTTTCATTCTTTCCAGACCTCCAACACTCATTCCCGTCTCCATTCTCAACTGAAAACTTGCTTCATTTAGTTTTTTAACTGACACTATTAGATGGGCCATCCATTCATTTTCCAACCCACTAAAACTGTACATCTACCTGCATCTATACCAATAGGCTTTTTCCTCCTTCAGCCACAACAGAAAAATTATACACATTTGCTCCCCAAACAGCCCCGAACCCTACTCAAGGTCCAAATCCCCTTTCTCCCGTTTCTATAATCATGCCATTATCTCCTCTTTCTTCTGTTCGATAAATTCCTCCTCACCCTCTACTGCTTCCTTCCGATTAACATACAAACAATACTTCCTCCTTCTATTAAAAAAATAACTCTTAATTTCATATACCCTGTAGCTAACACCATCTTCTTGGCTCCCTTGAAACAAAACTTCCTGAAAGAGCTGTCTACAACTACCGTCTCCACTTACCCACTTCCTGTTCTTTCCTAAACTCACTCAACCTCTAACAGTTCAATTCCATTCCTTACACAGCATGACAGACCTTTCAAAACGTGGCCAGAAACTCTTCTAACTACCTCTTCTCCCTTTGGTCTGTGCTGCCCCTCCCTCACAGTCCAGCCCCCACACCAGCTCACTCTGTCAGGAGCACCCCATCTCCTTTCACGCTGCTGGGCCTTTCTTCATACAGCACGCTGATTATCAGGGCAGGCAAATGAATCCAAGAGACCTCGTTATGAGTTCCTGCTTTCTACTTAAGCAAATCACTTTCCTTCTCCAAGCCTCAGTTTTCATATCCATAAAACTAGAAGGAGAATAGCACCTGCCTGAAAGGACTGCTGAGAAATAATCCAGATTCAGTACCCAGCACAGTGGCTGACAGACACTAAGTCCTCAACAAACGTGCTGGTATTTCTTAAGGTATTCTCTTACCTTCCAATTGCTTCAACAAATATTTGCTGAGCTCCTCAAGGAGCCAGGTACCAATCTGAGCTTGGGGATATAGCAGCCAACAAGACAAAACCCCTACACCTTTCCAGAGCTTCTGCTCCCATGTCCCCCTTGGAGTACTCTCCAGCCCCCTAAATCTGCCTGCCCTTTTTTTTTTAAGGACTAGTTGGAATATCACTTCCCATGTAGCATCTTCTCGGACGTCCCCAGGAAAAATAGAATGTTTTTCTCCACTATGCTCTCTCATCAATTCTTCACACATCGTGGTCATTGCTTACTGCCTACATAATGAAGACTTCAGAGGGGCAATTCCTTGCTCCTATCCCCCCTCCAGCACTGCCATGATGGCTGGTACATACCAGGCATTTGTGTCACATCAAAATGAATCCATTCTATCTAATTTATCACAGAATTCATAAAATAAGCTATGCCCCAGGATTAAAATGCAATGCCTATCTCTACTACTACCTAGCTGGTAAGCCACTGTATCTGAACATCTTCATTTTTAAGTTTTAACAGCCGAATTCATCAACTTTGCCTACTTTTCGAAAGCCTAATTAGCCTAATTCCCTAAGAAAGTGGGCTCAACAGATACTTTAAACCATGCACCTAGTAAAGGTACTTATAACTGTCAAATAGAAAAATAGTGCTTCGATAACTAAAGGGTAATGAAAGAAAATTAACTGGGTAGTCAAACTCCGGACATTTTATGGAACTCTTTAAGATCTCAAAATCAATAAAATTCAGTAAAACAAAGGCTAAGAAAACATAATAAACCATATCTGTACCAACTTCGGCAGTTCATTACATGCTTTTATGTATTACCTCAAAATAGAACTCCAACACAATAAAAGGATATACTTTAAAATAACATGACCATCCAATAATCAAACTAGTTGTACCTATAGATAAAAGTATTAGGAATTTTTTTTCAACCTGTTTGTACGAAATGATATACTCACTACCACGTTTTCTGGTGACCATAAATAGCTCTCTTTTGTCAGTGGTATTTTGTTTGAAAACACTTCTATTTCATTAGCAGGTGGGAAATCAAATGCTTTTGGATCTGCCTATAGGCATTAAAAATATTAAATATCTCCATTATCCCAGGGACAAGCATCACATCATTAGAGGTCACATTTACTAAGCGCCTGCTTTGTACCAGCACCAAGAGCCGAGAGAGGTGTGCCCACGGAAAGGAGGACTAACAAAGATGGAGGAAGTAACCTGCAAGTGAAGTCAAGCTTTGAAAGTTAGAAATTTATATAAATTTCTGGGTAATTTCAGCTATGAGGGTCATGTGAAAAAAGCAGTCTAAACTATGTCTATTTGCTGAAATATCTTTAACAACATCTGAATTGTGCTATCGAACATGGAAACATCAGTGTTGTGTCCCTAAAGAAATAAAAATAAAGTATGCCTTTTTTAAAGTTCAAGTGTCTCATTTTGGCCATAATTAGGATCGAAGTTCAACCAACTAAATTCAACCCACTAGCAAATCATTAAAATGAGTCAGAAATATTCATATGAGGATTATTAAAACCCAGTGCATAATGAAATTTAGTACTGGAGACAGCTGTATGCCATAACCTTAAAATCAAAATGTAAAATAAAAGTAAATGAAAAGGATCATATATCTAGAAAACACAGATACACTGAAATGGCTAAAGCATTTCCACTTCCTAGACTAACACAACGTCTGCCTTCCACAATCTCTAATTTTTACCAAAGCTGGTATGTAAGAGAAACTACTTCTGCACAAAATGAATTTTTCCTAAAACATAACTAGTTATAAAGATGAAGAATGTCAGATATTAGGGTAGCCATAGCATTTATAATGATAGATCAAACAAACATAATTGGTTTGATTAAAACTAGTCCTTACCTCATATGTTGCAAGACGATCTAAGTAGGTTAATAATTTCAGTCTACAACGGCAAAGTTCCTTTTGTTCCAGTGTTAACCTGTTGTGAATAACTACATTAGGCTACTTATATTAACACAGAAGCACACTTCTCCACGAGTTAAAATAGAAAAAAATAACAATATTCCATTGAGCCCCAAACTGATGGAACAATACACAAAAGCACAAGGGTAAAATAATACTAACTGCGTTTGATGTAAGTTGCTGGAATAATTCAGAGCAATTAATCCTCGTAAAGAATACACTTAAATGACTAGTTATTTTAAGGAAAGTACCAAACAGTTACAAATCATTTACTTTGCAAAGTTCACTAATTTAAGCAGTTCCCGTCTCTTCTTGATCTTCTTCTCCTTTTTATTCTCGGCAGGCTCTTCATCGGGTGGTGAAAGCTCCTCATAGGGGATACTGTCAATGTCGACTTCACCAGGTAATGTGAATCTAGAAGAAAAAAAAAAAAAAAAAACCAAAGCTATTAGTGAAAGCTGCATTCCCCTACTCTGGCTGATTTTACTACTACGTTGATTTCCACAGAAATAGAAAGAACCAATTATTTGAAAGAAAGCTTTTGCATTGCAAGCAAAGTGATTCACTCATTATATCCACAGGATGAGCAAAAAGTCATCACTAATCGTCACACACAAAAATTTTAAAATCACGGCAATGAAAACTACTCAGGAAAACATGTGAGGTTATACTCACCCAATGTGAAATAGCCCATGAAGAAAATGTTGCCCAGAGTTTACAGTCTGAATCACTTCTATTTAAGGTTTTAAAATGGTTTACTTAAAAAAATAAATAAATAGGGGCGCCCAAGTGGCTCAGATGGTTAAGCATCCATCTTCGGCTCAGGTCATGGTCCCAGGGTCCTGGGATGGAGCCCAGCTCCCTGCTCAGCAGGGAGTCTGCTTCTCCCTCTCCCTTTGCCCCTCCCCCTGCTCTCTCTCATGCATGCTCGCTCTCTCAACTAAATAATAAAAATCTTAAAAATAAATAAAATAAATGAATAAATAAATAAAAGTAAAATAAAATTTGAGGGGAACCTGGCTAGCTCAGTCCATAGAACATGGGACTCATGATCTTGGGGTCATGAGTTCAAGCCCCACATTGGGCATAGAGATTACTTAAAATTAATTAATTGGCGTACAAAAAATAAGGTTTGAAAATGATAATGAATGTCAGTCTCATTTACAGTACTTATTCATTAAATATACCATCACACTTATACCTTTAAAAAATTCCAAATGTCTAATGAACAATAACTCTTGTCAAATTACTACTATTACTGACAGACATTTGTGTGGTACTGACAAGTTTATGAAGTGCTTTCATAAAACACACGATTTAATCACTCGAATTCTCTAAAGGAGGTATGAGTCCAAGACAAACAAAGTGAATGAAGCTCACACTTGCCAAGGGGGTGCTCCTGACTGGTAAGCACTCCCAGGTACGTGTCTTTAGCCCACAGATTAGAAACTGCCAGCATCCGATAAAGGTTTGGAGAATGTGCTCTTTTCTTAGCATCAAGCTATCATAGGTATACATATTTAACTCAAAGGAAAGAAAGCTGTGACCTCAGATAAGAGAAGCATTGATCAAAGGCAACTGTCTCATTACAGGATAACCTAAATAAAGAAAAGTTTACCCTCTGCCATGTCTCAGCTTCAGTGTTTTCATAAAGTCACCTTCCCTCTTGAATCCAAATCTTTCTGTGACCAACCTGCCATCGTGTGTTCCTTTCCCTATTGCTACCAGAGCCTCCAGGTCTGTGCCTTTCAATCCATACTGAAGCAGTTCCTTCGCAGCATCCACATTTTCAGGAACTCTTTCCAAACACTCATGAAGAACCCAGGATCGTTTCTTTATTTTGCTCTGGATACAAATAAAAAACAGAAGCAGTAAAGAACCCAGGACATCTGACAGCATGTGACAACTGCCTTCTAGAATCATAAAGTTAGACCTAAGGGAGTACAGCTATCTAAGCCCTTAGCCACAGGTAGCTTCTAGAGAAGCTCAACAGGAAAAGGCTAATTCCCTAATGGTGATTGGAATGGGATATAGAAAATAAGATTCCTACAGTTTTCTTTTTTTCTTATAATGAGACACACTGAAACACAAAGCTCAGGACTCTTTTTCAGAAACATATAAAAGATCTACCCAAATTTTTATGGCTGCTCGTTAGTTTGCATTTGGGCTATATAATAGAATAGAAAAGCAAGCAGAAAGGCAAGATAAGATATATCTTATTGTAACAAGCATGCTTCACTCTGAAACAAAACTAATGAGGCATAACACATCAAAGTTCTATATTTACTTGCCCATGAGATGTAACACAAAGTGCAGATGATAATTTAATTATAAAAAGCCATGATACGCTATTCTTTGGGAAGACCAGGGGCCGATTCCTCCCTCCCAACTGCTTCCTCTGACTCCATTCAAAATCCCTGACTTGCCCTCTTCAAGAAAGAGTCATTGTGGTTGTAAGTTTTAAGTAAGATTTGACTCCTACCCTGCATTCCTTTACACACTCCATTCTATCAGTTCTTTCTTCAAATGTCTCTTAACTCATTTCCTCTTCTCCAGCTCTATGGCCTCCATACCAGTCCAGGTCATCAACACATGACAACTGTGACATCTCAGGAGTCCCTTGCCCTTAGTAGGGTTTCCCACCAACACTCTCCTTCCATGCTAGTTCATCTTCTACACCATCTCCCTCTGTACCTCCACAGTCAAAAATCCACAACACTTCCCCATTACCCTAAAGATAAAAAGCCTAACTCATCACAAGCCTTCCACATCCTCCAGAACCCAAGTCAATGTATCTTCTAATCATATTTCCCAAAGTTCACTGCTGTTGAATAGCTGATCCAGCAGATGCGTTAACTTACAGAGCTCATTTACTCATCCAAAAAATACTGACTAGGTGCCTAAGGGGGCCAGGTACTAATCTAGACATGAAGCAATGATTATGACAAATTCAGTCAATGCCACAGGTCATGCTCATTTTCTTTTAATTTGCTCATACCATTTGTCCCATGAAGAATGCCTTCCTCTCTTCTAACTCCAGGAGGCCTGCTCTGAAGTCTCTCAAAGCTGCTCAAAACGTCTTCACTCTATAGCCTTCCATAACCACTGGATCTAAAATGATTGCTACTTTCACTGGGTTCCCACAGCATTTTTCTGGAATCTTCTTGTATGGTTATTTATATTTTAGACAGGAAGCTTATCTTCTCAGAAACATTATAAGCTCCCTAAAAGGGAAGGCCATATTTATGCTTCTCCTGTACTCCTTTCACCTTCTCTCGCCTAGTGTTTTTACTCTTAATTGACTATTTATTTAGCTGAAATAAGTATTTCTCCCAATAAAAAATGTACTTGCTTTGTCTCTCTTAACACCTGTCAACTCCTTCAGGGACGAAAATTGTCCTTTACTGTGTTCCAGAAAAAGCCCTGAATGGGTATACATAAACTCACATGCTCACTGTCCTGAGTCACAAAAGAAGAAAGATAATACAGCTTTGGTGTTCTAATCTTCTAAAGGAAATACAAGCAACTTCTCTTCTTCCTTTATTTCATTATCTCTCATGCTCTCTCTTTTCTGGTGCCTTATTTGTTAACAGTTTATCTTCTGAAATGGTTAAAGCATCAACTTCTTACAACTACTTGTATACGTGAATTTTATGGAAAGAAATTATCATGAAAATTTCCCAACATTTCTTAGATCTTCCTAAATGCAAAGGCATTTTCCTTTTTAAATGTCACATGAGAAGTCATGCCCTCTTTAAAGCATGCCATAAATCCAACTGCATCCTCACAAAAGTGCCGAGGGTCCCAACACACAGGCTACGTAACAAATTTAACCCAGGCAGCAGGCAGCAGGAGGATCCAGCTGTAATATTTAAACAAAGAAGGAGAATTTGGAAAGCTTGATATGTCACTTATCTATTGCCTCTCAGCTTCAAAAGTTCTCCTCACTGCCAGTCATGGGATGGACAGCATTTCCATTTTGCCACTGACAAAATATCAAGCTTCATCAAGAGAGGGCGCTGGAGGGCCACTGCAGAGGAAAGGCTCTGGTTTCTAGTCCTAATGTGCTCAGGTTCTAAACTTGTTCCTATGGCTTAGCAGCCAGCAAAGCATGTAGGGGACATCCAGAAGCGCCTGCTTCCCCCCTTACTCCCACTGAACACAACTTCCCACTGAATTTCAGTTGTTACTCCCATGGGCATATTCCTTCCCAGTAAATTTCCCAGGCACGTGGGCGGGGGGAAGCAGGGAGGCAGGGAGGGGGTCTTCCTAGACTATGCCCACCTGCATACTAGGAACTTTTTCTTTTCAGTCCTGGCCATGGTTCCTTATCTGAGGTTTTCCGACCCCCAACCTCAGCTTGCCGGGGCACCCTAACTATAGGCATCAGCTTGCCCAACCATCCCACCTTTTCCTACCTGCCAACCATGGCAACTAAGAACCAGCCCTGGCCCGAGGCATCCCAAAGAACTCTTCCTCCAATGTGCCCCCAATTACTCCAAAGTTCAATGAGGTCTGAATCCCAGCTCAAGGGAGGAGGCCTCCCTTCCAAGTTTGTTCCCTTCTTGGGTCTGCTCCTTCAACCTTAAGCTATTCCTTAGGGTTCTCTTTACCCCTTTATAGTAAATCTCACTAGAAAATAAAGCTCCATATTAAAACTTTCCCTGTTCAAATTACTAGGTGGTTTCTGGCTCCTGAGGGGACCCTGAATGATGTAGGCGAAGAAAGTAACTGAGGTAGAGGAAGAGAAAGGATTAGGCCAAAACCAGGTAGTTAGCTGGTTTATCAGTGACTATCTGTTCACACATCTTCAGCACTAAAGTTCAGCTGCAAGGCTAATACAACCAGATAAAAGATAACTTCTCCACATTGAAAGAAACACACTTCAGCATTAGAAATGTCAGCAATATAAAATGCTCCAATATGAAGTCCTATAACCAAAAAAAAAAAAAAAAAATTCCATACATTTGAATTTTACCATGTTACCAAAATATTTAAACATACCAAGTAATTCTGGATTGAAGCAATGTTGACGGCGGACTTCCTCCACTGCCGCTGATACACTAGATCCGTATCCAGACCATAGGTCTGAGCTAGAGACAAGGCTTCCTCATACTCTTCACTTTCAATCTTGGCACAAGGAATGGGAAGAGGAACGTTACATTACTGAATCGTCCAGTGTCACTATCATGAGGTCACGGATGAGGATAATCCCTTCACTTCACAGCATGTGATGCACTGCTAACTATTCTCATGTGCACTGTGGCACCAGAAGCCCACAGACCTGTTGGGGGGCAGACAGACCACGTATTCCTTTCCACACTCAACAGAAAGCTGAGAGACAGTTGAAGTGCCCACATTTATAGAGTAAAACAATAGGCAGAACCAGGAAAGGAGTGCCAACAGCCTAAGTCCTCGTCCAGGGCCCACCCGGGACCCTGCAGGGACAGCACACATAACCGGAATGCTCAGCGTGGATCGATCTGCTCCCCAAGCAAAGCCCTGGCTGGAGAGCAAGCCCGCATTTCTTCCCTCACCACCTGCAGTCTCAGCAGACAGCTGCACTGACCAAGGATCAGGTGAGAGCGGAAGGCCACGTGAAGGGCAACGGAGACCTGGCTAAGCCACAAGTGGACAGTCTAAGTGAATTCATCTTTTATCCACTGTTTTCACTTTGACTCCTCAGGCACAAAAAGCCGGCACTATTTTCACAAGCTCTATCCCACGGATACGTCTAACATGTCAATGATAGGGTAATCCCTCTTTAAATTTCTGTATTAAAAAATTAGTCTTTTCCTCACTGAAATAAAATCTGGAGGCCTGGGAACTTTGGAAGTGATAGGATGCCCCCCTCACCTTTCTCTGATAAAGCTCCTCCGGAGTCGTGGAGCGCAAACTCACGAGGCGGTAGTTTTTAGTAATGGCTCGCGGGCGTTTCCGTGGGGGTGCGAATCGCTCCATTTCCGTCACCAGATATAGGCCCTGTTTTATGTAGCCAAAGTAGCGAGCCTTGGCAGACACCTCCTGATCAGAATCAGAATCCTCTTCCCCTTCTTCTTCATCTCCACCCCGAGTCTCCAAACGAGATCGTTTGGGGGTAAGTTTAATCTCACACTAAATGTAAAAAGGAAATGTTAAATCAGTAGTGAGGAACTCAAGACAAGCTTTTGAGTCCATGAGAAAAATATTTTTAATTCTACTCTGGTTCATGCATGACATGAGCCACATGATGAAGACAAAGAGTAGACTTCAGAGGAACCCAACAACAAACAGAATACCCATCAACAGCTCCCCAGAAATATCCACAGCCTTATTGGCCACAAATCTCCAAAACTAAACCGTGTGTTCATAATGGCTCATTAATATGATCTCCCAAATATATGTCTGGCAATTATTTTAGGAAAATAAAAAGAATGCTATTTCCTTCACTTTTTTTTTTTTTTAAGATTTTATTTATTTATTTGAGAGAGAGAGAATGAGAGACAGAGAGCACGAGAGGGAAGAGGGCAGAGGGAGAAGCAGACCCCCTGCTGAGCAGGGAGCCCAATGCGGGACTCGATCCCGGGACTCCAGGATCATGACCTGAGCCGAAGGCAGTCGCTTAACCAACTGAGCCACCCAGGCGCCCCTAATTCCTTCACTTTTGATATTTTTGTACCTGCTGTAGAGAAATAGGATTTTTTCACCTATTTAGAAAATGAACATGAAGGTATTTATTTGCTTTACTGAGAACAGCTCTCCTGCCTTCCCTCCCTTTTTAAAAAAAATGTCTAACAGCTTCACAAACTTCTGAGTCTGAAAGCCTGACTATTAAAGATAACTTTCATTCCCAGACTTAACAGAGTTGGCTTCAATTTTAAGCCATGGTTCTCATTTATGAAATAACATCTGTAGACTCAGTAACAAACATTGAGGTAAAAAATACTTGTAAATCTGCACTGAAGTGAAAGCTATTAAAGGTCTTTACCCTTGAAAGGCCTAGAGTAAGAATTTTTAATGACCGAAACATAACTTTAAATTACTAGCCTCCATTTTCACATCTTTTGACATGAGACAAACAAGCTTTCTTTACTAAAAAGAACCAGAATTTTTAAGTTCCCAAACTTCATGGAAATAGTTTGTTTAAAGACCATATTTAAGTAGAAATACCTTTTACATTTTAAGATGTCTAATCTAAGAAAAAGAAAAAAAACTAACATGCCTGTGAAGAAAAAACTGCTTTATAAAGAACAAAATGACTCCATTTTCTTCAGTCTTACAATGTAATTTTTTTAATTGACTAAACAATAGATCTTTCTTATACTGCACTCAATCTCTGATTCCAATCACAGGTTTTTGTTTTTAAGGACAAGATTAGATAATGGGATAGCTAAAATTTAAAAATCAAATGTTTAGCCATACTTCAATAAAAATAAATGGACAGCCATCATTAAAAAAAATTAATTACATTTATATTAAAATCAGGTGTTTAGATTTTTGGTGAAATGCATGTTTATTTTCCAACACACCAGCTGCTCTAAAACGGAAAGCATTACCTCCAAACTTAAAAATCCTCCATCATGGGTAGCAGTGACTTGAGGTGACGGTTCAAACCACTCACAGGATTTTCCCAGTAAATTCTTCAAAGTTTTCACTGATGAAACAGTCAAAGCACCCGAGCAACGAGCCAGAGTCACTGCGTTGGCTGCCCACCAATTTACATCTATCAATGGGTAAAAGGACTCTTTATCTAATGGAGAAAAAAAAAAAAATCAATACAAGTCCATCTGTCAGTGTGGCTTAAATACAACACATTTAGTCCAATGATCAATTTAAAAACCATATTTGGGCCCTAAACATGTTAAGTAAGAAAAAATAAATTGTAAGTCATCACCCAAATTTTTACAAAATGGTAATTTATTTAATAAACATCTAAGTGTCAACAATTTACCAAAGTCCAAAATTCTAAGGATGCAGGAGTAAGTATGTTTAGGTCTTTCCACTTAAAAAATGAAGAATATACAGATAGTACCACCATTTTCAACAGAGTAAGCTGAAGGTTGGTGTGTACAAAGTATACATATCATAAGGGTTATAAAAGGTTTTAGAAAATGTTCATATATCCTTTTTCAGACAAACAATATGAGAGAATTATACTCTTAATAAAAATTTAAGACAGATATATAATCGTTTTCAAAGCTGATTTCCTCTTAAACTTGTGAAGGAGATCAGAATCACCACCTCAAAATAGGCCACTTTGATATAAATATTTTAAGATAAAGAAATTTGAGAAACCCAAAGTTCTTTTTGTCTTGTCACTTCTCTTAATAATTTTATTGTTCCTTTGCCAAGATGCTGTAAAGTAAGCCCAATTTCCAAGCAACCCTTGGAGTTAACTCATTTCTGGGTACTCCCATGTGTAAGCTCGATGTACACCCTAGAAACTTGTTTGCTCTTCTCCTGTTAATCTGTCTTGTGTCAATCTAATTATACAGGGCCTCAACCAGAGAACCTTGGAGAGTAAAAAAAAGATTTTTTTCGTCCCCTATATATATCATCCAGAGAGCACTTTTATTATACAATAGTAATCTCTTAAGGTTTTAATTATCATATTTCATACAACTCACCTTTGATTTTTTTTCTCTTCTCAATAGAGAGTCTCCAATCAGGATTAAGCTCGTCATAGCCTGGCTAAATGTGAAAAATATGCACAGGACTTCTTGAGTCAACCATGTAAGAAAATCATGAGAACACCATCAAGAACTATGGATTTTTCAAAGTAACAAAATATGGAAATGATGCTTTCCTTCAATCTTTTAATTATACCTAGCTGAAGTCTACTCCTCTCGATAATCTTGTTCTTACACTTCAAATGTGCACAAGCAACTACTGGGACTCAATTTAATAAAGAAAATAACATGCATAAGAACAGTAAGATAGCAAGTATGCAATTAATACAAATGAGAGCAAGATACACTAACAGTTCTGCACACACACACACACACACACACTTACATTCTGGGAGAACAGCTATGCTGCTGTAAATAACACAGGCCTGGATGCAAGTCCTACTCCTACAACTTATAAGCTGAGCGACCCCTCCAGGCCTTGGGCTCCCTAGCTCTGAGACAGGACTCTGCAACCCCCATGTTATCTCCAGTTCTAACTTCCTAGGACTAAAAATTTACTAAGTAAAAAAATATAACCATGCAATCCTCAAACCTGATCTATTCATATTCTAATTTCATGGAACATAATGTCATGCCCACCTTCTAGAATCTCAAATATCATACAACAATTGAGATTAAGACACTGCCATACACCCTCTTGGCTCATTGTTAATTATTTCATTTTCAGAATTTTAACAGTATGGGAAAAGACCAGCAAAAAATCATTTGGCTACTTATCTGAAATCTTAAGCCTAAAATAAAAATGCTATATTATATCAAAATGTGCTTTTTCATCTAATGTAACAGAACAAACATATATGTTTTATTAACAATTTCTCAGTGGCTAACCCTTTAGAGTATGAAAATTAGTACTTCTTTCCATGGCCTAAAAGAACTTCCTGATCTCCACTACTATGATAAATCACTCAGAGCAGTCCCTGAGAACAGAAGATAGAATTCTTTAAACTTTATCCAAAAAGTTACCATAAAAGGCAAGAAATAGAATGTCCTCGTTTACTTTATTGTAAAAAAGAGAATTAACTTTCAAAGACTTAGACTACCAGAAGGTATATATTAGTGAAAATAATCAACTTATTGAAATCTTATGTGATCGTTTATAGGGCACTTTAGCCATTCTCAGTCCCCCTGAATCACTGGTGTACATGTTCCCACAGCACCACACGCACGTCACCACTGATTTTATTTTTTTAAGATTTTATTTATTTATTTGGCAGAGAGAATAAGAGCACAGCAGGGGGAGCATCAGGCAGAGGGAGAGGGAGAAGCAGGCTCCCCGCTGAGCAGGGAGCCCAATGCGGGACTCGATCCCAGGACCCTGGGATCATGACCCTCTGAGCCGAAGGAAGACGCTTAACGACTGAGCCACCCGGGCGCCCCATACCACCACTGATTTATATGACAACATGTGTGCCTCCCTAAACTGACATTCTGAAGTACACTAGGGGAGCAGGGAGTAAAGCTTTAAGTCCCACAAGCAACAACAACAACACTGATAATTCAGCCTTAGGTAAATTTAAGTACGTACAGATCACAATGAAATTTAAAAGAAATCTTCAAAAAATTTTCAAAAGAAATCCCTCAGTGGTATAAGTACGTTGAGAATTCAAGGTGAGCTTGTCTTCATCCAAGTTAATGATGAGAAGGAGCAACATGAACAAGCAGTACTAGTCTATGGGGGTCAGTCTCCACATACTTTGGGACTAGACTGTTCCATGCAGATGGCTTAAATAATGGATGTCTCTTGTGATTTCATTTCCTAACCACAAGCTGAAGATTTGTTCTGCATCCACAGCTTTGTCAGTCATCCTCCTATTCCCAGATCCATCATGGTGCTCACCTGTCATAGTAGCTAAATGCTGAATAAGTGAATGAATTAATCTTTTAAATCATTGCACTCCAATGAGAATGCCTACAGCACAGGAAAATTAGTTGACATAGTAGTAGTGTTCCTACAACCTCTAACAAGTGTGGTTTCTTCTGCTATTTAGTCAATGAATACTGTGCACTTACACTGTGAGAGAGGGAAAAGAAATCAGATAGGTCCCACAACTCAAGCAGGCAGAGAGCTAAGTAAGAAACAGATAAAATTTACTATAACCCAAGTTGAAATTTGATAACTACCCAAAAAGAGACCTAGATAAAAGCACCAAGGGTATCAAAGGATGAAGAGATCATTTTTTAATACAGGCTTGAGAAAGCCAAAAGGGGCTAAAGAGGTATAAAGAAAGTGCTACATTGGTGCTATAAGACTGGATAAAACCTGGGCATGGAACATGGGTGGAGGAAGACATTCCAGTCAGAGAAATACAACATGAGCGAAAGTACACAAAAGGTTAAAAAAGTACTAAATTTATTCAGGAAACAAAAGTAGGTCAGAGGGCAGCTGGGTGGCTCAGTCAGTTAAGCGTCCGGCTATTGGTTTCAGCTCAGGTCATGATCTCATGGGCCCTGGGATCAAGCCCCACATGGGGCTCTGCACTCATCAAGGAGTCTGCTTGAAGATTCTATCCCTCTGCCCCTCCCCTCCACTCATGCTCTGTCTAAAGTAAATAAATAAATCTTTTAAAAAAAGGAAAAAAAGTAGGTCCGTTTCACTAAAGCACAGGAATATCAGTTCTCATGATCTGCATTTTTGCTTGTCTTAGGGTTCTGGGGGATGTGAAGGTTCACAAAGTCATTTTTTGTTGTTGTTGAGCTAAAATTCACATAATGTAAATTAACCATTTTAAAATGAACCTTCAGTGGCATTTAGTATGTTTACCGTGTTGTCACTTCCTTTTTGTTTCCAAGCATTTCTACCAATCCCAAATGAAACCACTTACCAGCAGACAGTTATCTCCCGCCCCTCCTCCCCTCAGCCGCTACCAATCTGCTTTCTGCCTCAAATGGATTTACCTATTCTGGATGTTTCATATAAATGAATTCATACAATATGTAACCTCTTGTGTCTGGCTTCCTTTGAGTTAGCGTGATGTTCTCAAGGTACATCCACATTATAACATATATCAGTACTTCATTCATTTTTATGGCCAAATAATATTCTATTGTAGGTATTTACCGCAACTGATTGATCCAGCCTTCCATTAATGGACATTTGCGTTTCTTCCGCTTGTGGCTGTTGTGAATAGTGCTGCTCAAACATGTATGTAAATGTATTTGTTTGAGTACCTGTTTTAAATTCTTCTGGATATACACCTATCTATACGCTATCACCTTTGCAGTACACCTAGCAGATTCACTCTAGATATGTGAACTAAATGTTTAACTTCACAATATTTGCAAGTCTGATGAAATTATCTGCACAGTATATTTAAGAAAGAAGCCCCAACAAAATTCCAAACTTAGCTCTGCTTCAGGCTATGAAAGCCTGAATGAAAGAAAATTAAAGAAAGCAAAGAAACAAAAGATAAACACTAATTTGAAGGGATACATAAACCCCTATGTTCACTGCAACATTATTTACAACAGCCAAGATATGGAAGCAACCCAGTGGCCACTGATACAGGAGATAAAAAAGATGTGGTATATACATATAATGGAATATTACTCAGCCATACAAAAGAATGAGATCTTGCCATTTGCATGGCAACGTGCACAGACCTTGAGGGTATTATGCTAAGTGGAGTAAGTCAGACAAAGACAGACAAATACTATATGATTTCATTTATATGTGGGATCTAAAACACAAAACAAAGAAAATATAAACTGACTCATTAATACAGAGAATAAAATGGTAGTTGTAGGAGTCGGGGGAGATGGACAAAAATAGGTAAAGGGGATTAAGAGGCACCTCCCCACCCCCAAAAAAGCTGATACTCCCACTGCATCCCCCATACTATTCAAACTGCACCAGACTTACCATCCTTCATCCCTAAAACCTCTACGAGGGGACCCGTGATCTGGCCGTGCTATAGGACATCTGATATACACTCAGTAGGCTGGTGCTTTGAGAGCAGGATCACCAAGAACCCACGACCCCTGTGAAGGCACGCCAGGGGTACTGACTCCTGGTACCATGTTCATATATTCTGAGAAGTAACCTCTGTTGTCACTCTGCTTTGTAGGACATGCTACCTTGTGTCTGAAAACAGCCCGAGGTGCCCCCATGTCATGGTGTAGCAGCAGCCTAAAGGAGAATGTCCTAAGAATACACTTATAGATTTTGTACAGAAAGGCTATCATGGCTACTGCAATGTTTTCTTTGGATTTAGGAATTTAATTGTTGATCCTTTTTAGCTGCTAGAAGCTAAATATAATGAAGACCCAGCATGCAACTGCATAAAAGCAACCTGTCAAATGTTTTTTTTTTTTCATTCCACAAACACTTACTAGTATTTAATATGCCAAGCTCTATGTTAGACCCCACGGAAGAAATGTATATTCAGTGTCTATTCTCCAGAAGTTCACAGTTGAGTGAAGTTGTGAAAACAGCTGTGGCTTATATCAAGATTAATCACATTAACTGTCATCTTCCCACTTATCTTTCATTGATCGATCCATTCAACAAAATTTGTTCAATACCCACTTTTGTGTCAAAGAGCAAATAAAATTGTAGGAGAAATGAAACTTATATTTCCTATTTCATCTAAGGAAGTACAAATAAAGTACAAATAAAACTTCTTCAGAAAAAATTAAGGCCAAAAATGAGATGGAAATATATAAACATAACATACGGGAAATGTTTGAAATGAAAAACACTTTAGCAATTTTACTATATTCCAGACATGAACAAAACTTAATATTCACAGATTTCTAGCCAGATGGAATTTCATATTGACAATGAAAGCTGAAGTATTTAATCAACTCAAAACTGGAGAGAAGTAAATCAGAATAGGCACTTCCACAACTACCTTTAATCATTAGATTTTAAAGAGAGAATACTCAATCACACAAAGCATATTATGAAAAACTAATAAAGTAGCGAATTACATGAAGAAAGCCCCAGATGAGCTGCATTCACAATTTCGTAAAAGAGGCTAAAGCTGTACAGGCAATAGTAACATTAGTTTCTTCTCAGGCAATGTTTTAGCTAAAACGATAGCTGATTATACACTCTATATTACCATGTAATCTACTTCAAACCCATTGGCTTGGCTAGTCATGTCCTAGAAGAGCCATAGAAGAGGTACAGCCCTGTCCCACCTGGCTGACCCAAGGTCCCCTGACGATTGCTGGACGAAGGAGAAAGGAGCACCGTTTAAGTTTCTCAGCCAGTGATGAGCACATAAAATGACACCAATATATTTGGTAAATAACTTACTTATAGTTTCACGTTTCCAGGGTCTCGGCACAACGAACCACCCAACTCCAGAGCGGTCATTCACATAAACTGCATGGACTCTCTCCCTTGTTTTCTGTTAATATCATCGCTAGTGCCTAACTGGCCCAGACAAAAGTCAGCAGCTCTCAACATAAGGGCTACAGAGGATACGCTGAAAGAAAGGCTTAACCTATGAGGTCGGAGAACCTGAGCCCAACCGGAATCTTGAGTCTAACATGCAGTGATAAAAGTTTACTTCTTTTAGCACTAGTCCCATCTATTAAAATACGAAAACGCTTGTCACTTTCTAGGACTGCAGTGAAGTAACTGAAATAGGTGACAATCACCTAGGGTGGACAGCCAAACCTTACTATACAAATGCTACTTACTCCCAAAGATCCTTCCCCCCCAACTCCACCAACTGGATTGTGTGTCCTTCCCCTGAGCTTATCTCTTCATAATAGTAACATGTTCCTTTATTGATTTGTTTATAATCTCCCTTGCAAGACTATGAACATCTTAAGGGCAAGCCCTGGGACTTCACTGCATTTTCTACTCTGAAACTTGGTAAAGATTCAGTAAATAGTTGAACTCTATTATTTTATGATTATTATTATGAATATAGTTAACAGCTTCCTCTTTATAGAACTGTTACATACAAGCTTTACAGCACTTACCATAGTGCACTAGATTTCAATGACTCCCTTTCTACAGTAATATCCAAACCAAAAATGTCCAATCCAAGGTGATGAACTCCCAGGATATAGGTGAAAGACTCAAGCAAAGTAGAGTTGTTCAAACTCTTTTCGCTGAACAGAGTTACCACCCTCACATAATCTCTCCGCACATCATAAGTACTGTATCTATCTATTGTAAACTTAAGGATTTACCAGTGAGAAGCTATGTCAATTATTTACTCCAGTTCTTGGCGGTACACAATAACTGGGGCTCAAGAGTCCAACACATCCAAGAAGGCTGAAGAAATCTGTGTTACATTCACTGAGAAAAAGGATTTAACTCTATTCTTTTAAAGATCAAATAAATAAAGCCTAATTTAAAAAACCAAATAAATGTTTTTTCCACCCTTTTAAAAATGTATTTATGTTCCCACAGGGTCATGGATAGAGCATGTACATCACAGTCAGAGAGAGATGAAACCAAATCTCAACTCTACTGCTTACTTGCCTTGCTAAGTAAACCTGGGACAAAATAAGTGCTCAATAAATAATAATAGAGGTTATTATTACAGCAAATTTTGCAGAAGCTACAAGAATACTGTCTACATGAACCATGATCTTACTGAGCTACATAAGCCGAAATGAGTGTATCAAAAGAAACCAGAGTGTTCTTCTTGTGAAAATGATGAAGCCTCATAGGAGTTTGTTTATCATGGGATAAAGTTTCAGAAAGAATAGTAGAAAGGGTTGGACAAAAGCAGGGAGAAGGGAGAGGAAAGTTCAGGAAGCAAGTGTGAAACAGCATCATGATCAGATGAGAAGAGACGACAGGTAAACAAATCAGTTTGCATTTTGACCATAATCCTAGAATTTTAAAGAAAAGATTAGATGAAATTAAATTCTTTGTGTTTTCAACTTTGGGCAAAATTTCTTCTCAGACCAAAATGAGCAGGGGTCTCGGAGCACAAAATCTATTCTATTTAGCCACAGTCTTTCCATGTGCTGAGCTACAGCAAGAAAACAGAGGGGTTGGCAGCCACCAGCCCAGGATGGGATGAAATCTGGAATGAGGTGGTATGCTGAGCAGCAGTAGAAATACCAATAAAGATAGGATTAGGTTTAATAATTCTCACTAAGCCACTGTTCACTCAGCAAAGGAATCCACCACCTGCAAAATGTCCATGGTAATGGCAACCGGGTCCCTGGTTTTCAGTTTTGTGAGCCCTCAAACCTGTTTTTTTCTCTAGTTTGCTCAGGCATTCAAGGGAATTTATAGCAACCCAATCTGAAAAGACAGATATATTATCCTACAAGTTGGTCAGTTTGTAATAAAAGATATAACAAGTTACATCAATAGATGGTCTCTATAGACTGGGGGCTGCTAAAACAGAGCTAGAAGAGGTAAGATGGAAGCTCACTGTAGTACAACAGAAAGATTCCTCTATAGCAATCCCTGACAAACTACCCTTCTAAACTCTCAATGTAGAGGGACGCCTGGGTGGCTCAGTCATTAAGCATCTGCCTTTGGCTCGGGTCATGATCCCAGGGTCCTCGAATCAAGCCCCACATCCAGCTCCCTGCTCAGCAGGAAGCCTGCTCCTCCCTCTCTCACTCCCCCTGCTTGTATTCCCTCTCTTGCTGTCTCTCTCTGTTAAATAAATAAATAAAATCTTTAAAAAAATAAAAATAAAACAAACTCTCAAGGTAGAGTTCAAAAGAGTCTCCCTGGGACAATACCGGAGACCAACTTCTGGCACGAACTCATCTCTTTACACCATAAACCTCTTCCTCCCTTCCTACCCCATGACTTTTCTGATGGCATTTTCCAAATTACTGAGATATTTAGAGTTAGTTATTCAAGATTTTTAAACAATTTTTAACTCTTTTAATAGAATCGTTATAAAAATCTAATGAATAACATTAATGAGCTAAAGAGTAGTTAATTAAAATGATATTGATTGGCAACTAATGACAAAATAATGTCTAACCAGTTAAAAAGTTGAATATATGCCAATAAGGACTACAATAAATTCAATTTATCCTTGCAGGTAAAGAAGGATATCCAGAATTTCAGTAAACGTAAGAGCATACTAATGATTTTTGCCTAAATAGCCTCTGCACTACACACATATGCCATTCTGGAATACTAACAAAATGAAATACTAAGTGTGCCCTGAACTTCATCAGTATTTCTATTAGGTGAATGAAATAATTCAAGAAAATTAGTAAATTCAAAAAAAATTTGCCCAAATGTAAAATTTCACATATATAATAGAACAGGGTATTCCCAAATGACAAATTTATCACTATACATCAATAACCATGACAAATACATGGTACCTTTTGGATCAATAATCCAGTATGCATAGCTATATTTGTTACACAAATGGTTTTAGAGTTGATCCATTCCACTTCTAGAAGGAAGATATAAATCAAGCTAGCTATAAATTCCAAGGAGAGAGAGAGAGAATGTTCCTTGTATTGAGCTACTGAGTTGAAGACTGAGGAGCGCCTCTTCTATTTAGAACAAATCTAGATCCAGTGAGATAGAGTGCAGTAGACATGTGGAAACCAAATTACATTCAAGGTGAGTAGGAACTAGAGGGAAAACAATCTTCCCAAACTTGTGTATAAAAACAAAAAATTGAAGAATAGTGAAAACAAATTTAAGTCTGTGAAAAGTGTAAGAAAATGCAGAGCCAGTTTCTCTTTCCCTCTGCTATTCTGGGAATAACCAAACACCCTTTGATTTTCAAAATTCTTTTAATAGCTCAGTTTAACTGATGAAATGACATTAAAAAGAATTCTGAAAAAAGACATCAACCCATTCAGACCATTCAGGGCATAGGCTCCAATCCGGGAATCACAAAACCATCCACCAAAGCTGGTGACGAGATATTCTTATGGCAAAGGGATATGGGGAAGTATAAACCTTAAGTGCTGAAATGCTAAATAGTAATCAGAGGAGTAAAAGACCTAGAACATAAGTTGTATCTAACTGGGAAGATTTTTCTTTAAATCTTCACTCTATCACAATACACAGCCCATCATGATTTTAGATTATAACAGATATTGAATCTGTTGCTAAACAACTGAAACTGTTCATTCTTACAACCTGTCATTTCAAGACACTAAAAAATTAACAGACTGTATCTTCATTATCTACCTTTTGAGTGAAGAGAAGATAACTCCCTTCAAGTCTTAAGCCTTAAATAAACCCAATACTATACGAGTGTTGCAAGATGTGGGAAGAATTGTAACCCTTTTAGAATATTGACCCTTGGAAGCCATCATATTAGTTGACTGTTGCTACAAAATTAATATCTCCATTCTGTATTTTTATAATGAGAAAAAGAAAAGAGGAGCGGTTGGTGGACAGAGTACACTCCGTATAGAGTGTATTGCACTACCAATTAAAGTCAGTACACAGTGCTACTCTACTCTAAATTTATCCTACTATATTGATAATATTCTAATATAACTAAAGCTTTCGCATGATATGAATAAATAATAGCTATGTGCTACAGTAAAATATCAACCAAATGAAATTAGTATTGTCAGTACTCACCCTTAAGCGAGACTCATTCTTAGAATAATAATAATCAAGAGACATACCTGCTCATTTTGAATCCATTCCCCTTGCTGCTTCAGAGATGGAATGGCCCAGATGCTTAGTTTCCCTGAGAAGTGAATGGCAGCAAGGAGGGTCCCATCTGGAGAAAGGCTCATCTTAAAGATGCCATCCTATACAGTAATTATATTACATTAATGTCAGATCAAGGAACTTGTAGCTGAATAGAAGTAACCTCCAGAATTTAATAACACTCTTCAGAGGGTGCAATGTCATAAATTATCTCTCATAATTAAGGGTTCCAACAACTTTATAACACTATAATGTGCTCCAGCATAAAGAAACAGGGCTCTTACCCTTCAGGAGTTGTGTTTGTTTTTTTTTTTTTTAATCTCTTTTACAGTGTTATAATTTACATATAACTGAAAACCCAAATATGTGAGCATTATAAAAATACTCTTATATCACACATCAATTACCATGAGTTCTTATTAACTTTCATGGGTTGATATTGACCAGACTGTGAGTTTCCTGAATTTGGGCTCCACATTTTCACAAGATTCTGTATGTACACAACATCTGGAATATTCTATCAAAAACAGGCCACAAATTCATGCTGTGTGGACAAAAGGAAAGGGACAGGAGGAAGAGAGAGTTGGCAGAAAAGAGGGTCCAATGATGAAGAGAACAGAAGAAGGCAAGGGGGGGACATGCACTCCTGCATTTGAGGAGCACTAGGAGTGTTTATTGTCCAGATTCCTGGTAAATCTGAGGAATCTAACTGTTGCTATAGAAAAGAGAAACTTTGTAGTGCACAGATTTCATATGGCCAACCTTAGTGTGCACAGAGTCCTACTTGTCCAAACAATCACTCAGTCCTTTCCCAGTGAGAATACCAGGTTGCTCAGTTACCACAAGAGAAACCACACAAGCAGAAAGGTCTCCTGCCTATTGCCTAAGAAGAATCAGAAGAATCAAACAAACACTAACTGACATCTAGTGCCCATCAAGCATTTATTAAAACCAGGGTTTAAGGTAGTTTACCCACAAATAATAAAACAGACCCAAAATGAGGGCCTACAACCGTATTTGTCCTTAACATTTAGAAAACTGGCAACACAGGGCCCACCACCACCAAATGGCAATAATCAGGTGGGACTGGGTAGCATATGCACCCCTCAAAGGGTCATAAGCTTTCCAGTTAGCCAAAGCCCCCACCATTCTTGGTTATGGCCCGAAGATTAAGGCCAAGTATCAGATACAGAAGTAAAAATTAAACATGACTATACTAAAAAAAAGAAAGTATGCCTGGCTCAATTCACCACATTATCTACCATTTGGTCTCTACAGACACAAGAGTTTAAGTCCTCAGGTCTACAATGACTAAGATATATTAGCCATCAAAAACAAATAGAACTATTTCAGAAAGTGAGAAACACTGCTGGATGAGTAGACAGATGAAAAGATTAGCATACTCTAATCTCCTCACTAAGGAGTAAAATCACTTTAGCTGGATATAACACATCTAGCCCAGAATGCCAGAATTAAATGTAAGAAAGAATAAAATACAGAAGCCCGAGAAAGAGAAGCAATAAAAGCAAAAGCACTTACAGCAAGATGTTAAATACACCCCATCCCCTCCTCTGTGATGGAAAGGAGGTCAGGAGCAGAAGATGAAGAGCCTGGCATCTTCCATTCACAACTCTAGTCAATAAGCTCCATGGTTTGGTATAAGGTACGCCTCACAAGCATAGATTCTCATTAGCTAGAAGAACTCTCCCCCATCACTGAGAGTTTATAGAGAAAGAAACTGAAGACCGCAAGGGTTAAGACACTTGCTGAAGATCATTCAAGTATAGACCACAGAACCTGAGCTAGATGTATCTTCAATCCCGACCCAGGTCACTTCCACCGCACCATGATCACTGCCCTCCCCTGGGTCATAGCCTTTCCAGGAGCCACAGGTATGCTTCTCAAGAGAAGTAATGGTCAAGTACACTTAACTGTTTTCCTCACCTACAATAATTAGTCACTAGTGATCTGGATGAGCACTCCCAAGTATTACAAATGCTTCATTAACCAACTCCCCTAAAAGTGCTCTGAAAGCAAATAGGAAGTTTATGAATGTCTTTAACAAAAAGTATATTGAATAATGTGAAGAATTTAACAATAGCACTGTGACCTAGAAAACACTGAATGAATATGCTAAATTATCCTTTGTTTTAATCCTTCTCCCTGCCCCCACTTCCTTACTTTTCTTTCTAGACATTAAGCAGTAAATAACTAAAATATTACCACTTGCTTTTTAACATGGTGGGTTCTTAAATCCCCTTAGTTTTATTTGATACTATGATATCCACACTGCAAACTTACCATTCCTTTTTCTAAGCATTTTGTTGTAGAAATCTGTACTTACACAGACACAAAAGTAGAAATTATAGTACAATGAATACCCACAGACCCAACAACCAGCTTATAAACAAGTATCAACATTCTACATTCGTTTCATGATTCCTTCCCAAGTCACTACAATATTCTCGGGAATTTTTTTTTCCCCCGAAGTGTTTTAAAGCAGATCCACGTACTGAATGGAGCACTGGGTGTTATATGCAAACAATGAATCATGGAACACTACCTCAAAAAACTAATGATGTAATGTATGGTGATTAACATAACATAAAAAAAAAAAAGCAGATCCCAGACATGAGCTGTATATACATTAAGTATACATTTCTTTAAAGTCCCAAGTTATCTGTTTAAGTCTCATATATACCCACAGTGAGAAGATACGGTTACCAATAGCAATTGAATTACAGCCAGTCAGCAATAGACAAGTCACCTATGTTACTTTAGAAACAAGGTGTTCTCCTTGTGAAATAAAAACTCCTCTTTTATTTGTAGAAACATTTCTGAGTGTCTATAGCACACAGAGTATTTCTGGCTCGGGGAATAATTTATTATCCTGACAGTAACTGTTACACAAGATCTAAAGCCACAGTAAGAAAATCCAGGCTAAATTCTGTGAACAGAGTCTGCCGTATTTAGAAATCTGAGTGCTTCTTGGTCGGCCAGAGAGAGAATTTCAGCGTGTGTGCTCTGGAAATAAGAGGAAATGGCTTTTCAATCAACTGCACATCACAATAAAAGTAAACCTCAAACCTTCAAACTGTAATTCCTTATACTGCATTAAGATTTCTCAGCATAAGTGAATAATAATCTTTGTCTCATCTTCTCTATCTGAATTAAGTAGCTCCAAAAGCAATAAAATTGAGCCGTAATTTTCACTTCACTTAAAATGTGTCTGAATTTTTTATATTCCTCAAATATGAATGTCATGTTTATTTTAATCATTACAACAGCTGGAATGTTGGTCAAGAATATATATCTTGGCAGTGAAAAGCAGAAAGCTTTTTCTCTGAGAGCATGAACAAGACAAGAAAGCCCACTCTTGCCAGTTTTATTCAACATAGTACTGGAAATTCTAGCCAGAGCAGTTAGGCAAGAAAATAAATAAAAAGCACACAAACTGGAAAGGAAGAAGTAAAACAGTCTCTTTACAGATGACATAGTATTATATACAAAAAACCTTAAAGACTCCACCAGAGAGCTGTCAGAATAAACAAATTCAATAAAGCTGTAGGATACAAGAATCAACATACAAAAACCACTTGCATTCCTATACACTAACAGTGAACTATCAGAAAGAGAAATTAAGAAAACAATCCCAGTTATACTAGCATCAAAAAGAATAAAATACTTAGGAATAAATGTAACCAAGGAGGGGAGAGCTCTGTACAAGAAAAGCTATAAAACACTGATCAAAGAAATTGAACACAAATAAATGGAAAGACAGTCCATGTTTGGGATTGAAAGAATACTGTTAAAATGTCCATAGTGTCCAAAGTGATCTATAGGTTCAATGCAATTCTTACCAAAATTCAAATAGCATTTGCCACAGAATTAGAAAAAATAAGCCTAAAATTTGTATGGTACCCTAAAAGACCCTAAGTCCCCAAGCAGCCAAAGCAATCTTGAGAAAGAACAAAGCTGTAGGTATCACACTTTCTGATTTCAAACTACTGTTACAAAGCTATAGTAATCAAAATACTACTGCATTGGCATAAAAACAGGCACAAAGATCAATGGAACAGAACAGAGAGCCCAGAAATAAACCCATGCATAGGCAGTCAACTAATTTACAACAAAGGAGCCAATAACACACAGTGGGGAAAGGATACTCTTTCAATAAATGGTATTGGAAAAACCGGATAATCACTGGACCCCTAATGTACACCATATACTAAAATCTACTCTAACTGGATGAAAGTCTTGAGCTTAAGACCTGAAACCCTAAAACTCTTATAAGAAAACAGGGGATAAGCTCCGTGACTGGTCTTGGCAATGATTTTGTTTGGATTTGACACCAAGAGCAAAGTCAAAAAGAGCAAAAATAAACAAACAGGTCTACATCAAATTAAAAACATCTGCACAGCAAAGACAACCTATGAAATAGGAAAAAATATTTACAAACCACATATCTGATAAAAAGTTAATATCCAAAATACACAAGGGACTCCAACAACTCAATAGCAAAAAACTCCAAATAACCCAACTTAAAACTGGAAAAAACATCTGAATAGACATTTTTTTCCAAAAAAGACATACAAATGGCCAACAGGTACATGAAAAGGTGTACAACTAATCACCAGGGAAAGGCAAATCAAAACTACAATGAGGTATCACCTCACACATGTTAGGATGGCTATCATCAAAAAGAAAAGAGTACAAATGCTGGTGAGAATGTGGAGACAGACAGACACACACACAAACACACACACACACACACACACGAGTATCATTTGGCCTTAAAAAAAGAAGGAAATCCTGTCATTTGTGACAACATGGATGAACCTGGGGGGCATTATGCTCAGTGAAATATGCCAAACACAGACAAATACTGCATGATATCACTTATATGTATTATATGTAATCTTAAAAAAAAAAAATCAAACTCCTAGAAACAAATAGTAGGAAACTAGTTGCCTACCAAAGACTGGGGGAGTGAAGGAAGTATGGAGAGGTTGGTAAAGGGGTAGAAACTTTCAGTTATAAGATGAAGTTCTGAAGATCTAATGTATAAGATGATGACTACACTTGGGCGCCTGGGTGGCTC